ATTCTTCCCAGTCTTTCATGTATTGATAGTTCATTTTTTAAAATTGCTGAATAGTATTCTACATTATGAGTACACCATTGTTTGTTCATCCATTTGCCTGTTGAAGAACATCTTGGTTGCTTTCAGATTTTGACAATTAAGGATAAAGCTCTAGTAAATACTCATGTTTTGGTTTTTGTTGGGACATAAGTTTTCAGCTCCTTTGGGTATATGCCAAGGAGTTTTTTTTTTTTTTTTTTTGGAGATGGAGTTTCACTCCGTTGCCCAGGCTATAGTGCAGTGGTGCGATCTCGGCTCACTGCAAACTCTGCTTCCCAGGTTCAAGCAATTCTCCTACCTCAGCCTCCCGAGTAGCTAGGATTACAGGCACCCACCAACATGCCTGGCTAATTTTTGTATTTTTAGTAGAGACAGGGTTTCACCATCTTGGCCAGGTTGGTCTTGAACTCCTGATCTTGTGATCCTCCTACCTCGGCCTCCCAAAGTGCTGGGATTACAGGCATGAGCCACTGTGCCTGGCCCTAAGGAGCATGATTGCTGGATTTTATCATAAGAGTATGTTTAGTTTTCCAAGAAACTGCCAAATTGTCTTTCAAATTGGCTGTATCATTTTGCATTCCTATCAGCAACTAATTAAAGTTCTTTTTGCTCCATATTGTTGCCAGCATTTATTGTTGTCAGTGTGTTGGATTTTTATCATTCTTTTTTTTTTTTGAGACAGAGTTTTGCTTTTGTTGCCCAGTCTGGGTGCAATGGTGCGATCTGCAACCTCTGCCTCCCAGGTTCAAGCAATTCTTCTGTCTCAGCCTCCTGAGTAGCTGGGATTACAGGCATGTGCCACCATGCCTGGCTAAGTTTTTGTAATTTTGGTAGAGCTGGGGTTTCTCCATGTTCATTAGGCTGGTTTCAAACTTCCAACCTCAGGTGATCCATCCTTCTCAGCTTTCCACAGTGCTGGGATTACACATGTGAGCCACCATGCTCGGCTGGACTTTTGTCATTCTAATAGATATGTAATGGTATCACATCATTGGGTTTCCTATTCTTTTAAAAAACATTGTGCTCGGCCAGGTGTGGTGGCTCATGCCTGTAATCCCAGCACTTTGGGAGGCCGAGGTGGGTGGATCACGAGGTCAAGAGATCGAGACCATCCTGGTCAACATGGTGAAACCCCGTCTCTACTAAAAAAAAAAAAAAACAAAAAATTAGCTGGGCATGGTGGCGCACGCCTGTAATCCCAGCTACTCGGGAGGCTGAGGCAGGAGAATTGCCTGAACCCAGGAGGCGGAGGTTGCGGTGAGCCGAGATTACACCATTGCACTCCAGCCTGGGTAACAAGAGCAAAACTCTGTCTCAAAAAAAACAAAACAAAACAAACAAACAAACAAAAAACATTATGCTCAAGCCTGGGCAACATGGCAAAACTTTGTCTCTACAAAAATAGAAAAATTAGCTGGGCATGGTGGTGCACGCTTGTAGTTCCAGCTACGTGGGAGGCTGAGATGGAAGGATTGCCTATGCCATCCATCATCACAGGTGATAGAGGCTGTGATTGTGCCACTACACTCCAACCTAGGCGACAGAGTGAGACCCTGTCTCAAAAAACAAACAAGCACACAAACAAAAAAACCCAAACCAAAAAAACATGTTATGTTCAGCTGTGTGTAGTGGCGTGCACCTGTAGTTCCTGCTACTCAGAAGGCTGGGGCAGGAGGATCGCCTGAGCCCAGGAGTTCAAGTCTGGCCAGGGAAACATAGTAAAGCCCTATTTCTTTTAAACAAACAAATAAGAAAATAAGAAAAAAAAAAAAAAAACCCCAGCAGGATCAGGAGTGCTTTAAAAAGTCAATGTAACATTGGATAATGTCAGATTGATAGCCATTTTTTTTTTGAGAGGTAGTCTCACTTTGTCGCCCAGGCTGGAGTGCAGTGGTGTGATCTCAGCTCACTGCAACCTCTGCCTCTCAGGTTCAAGGGATTCTCCTGCTTCAGCCTCCTGAGTAGCTGGGACAACAGCTGCACACCACTACACCCGGCTAATTTTTGTATTTTAGGTAGAGATAGGGTTTCACCAGATTGGCCAGGCTCGTCTCAAACTCCTGACCTCAAGTGATCTGCCTGTCTTGGTCTCACAAAGTGCTGAGATTACAGGTGTGATCCACTGTGCTGAGCCGCCAGACTGTTAGCCTTTCTTTAGAAGTTAGCCTTTAGTATGATTGTCTTACTCTTTTATACTAAATGAGATATTAGCCTAGAAGAATCTGGTTTAAGAAGTAGATAATTTTCATTTATTTTTACTTCTTAATTAAAAATCACATCTAAGAATATATAGATCGGGTCTACTCTTTTTAGCTGTTATATAGTAATCAGCATATTAATATACCACCTTGTAGTCACCCATTTCCCTACTGAGGACATTTAGATTGCTTCCTTATTTTTAAATTTTATCTTTATTTTTGGTAATCTGTGCTGCAGTGAACATCCCGATGGATGTCTTCTTGAGTAAACTGAGTGTTCAAGTGTGTGTAAAATTGTGTCCATGACCCATTAGGGGAAGAAAAATTAATTTATTGGCTCGTGACCAGTATTTAAAAAAGAAAGTAGTAAAACAGAGTAGAAAGCATTAGAGTGTAGTACATATATAAATTTTCAACTTTTTATGTGTGTATTTGGTCATGATATAAAATACATTTCTGACTGTGGATGCTAGTCAAAAACATCAGAAAGCCCCTTGGAAGTGGGATTGCTGGGTCTGAGGGGTGCCTCTTTCCCCTTTCTGAGTTCCTGTTTTAGCTATTGCCAAACTGTTCTTGAAAGAGCTTATGGCAGTTTACTGTTTCACTCTATAGTGTGAGAACACCATTTCCCCAAATGTCTAGCACTTTATGTAAGTACACATATGACTCCTATTCTTTAAAAAGTATTTCCCCTGTCTAGCCTCATTTTTTCTAGTTAGCAAATATATGCCATGTTTAGCCCATTTTAAATTGGGATATAATTTATATACTGTAAAATTCATCTTTTAGAAGTATACAAGTCACTGGATTTTAGTGTACTCATGAGACTGTCCAGGTATCACCACAGATTCTACGGCATTTTTATTACCCCTGAAAGAAACCTAGTGCCCATGAACAGCCACTCTCCATTTCCATTTCTCTTAGCCTTGGCAGCTCCTAATCTACTTCCTTTCTGGATCTGTCTGCCTCTTCTGGACATTTCATATAAATGAAATCATATCATATGTGATCTTTTATGTCTGGCCATCCTTACTTAGCCTGGTGTTCTCATGGCCCATGTATCTTCACTCTTTTCCATGGCTGAATACTTTCCATTGTATCTATATGTACCACATTTTGTTTATCTCTTTATCAGTTGATGGACATTTGGGTTGTTTCTGCTTTTTGGCTACTGTGAATATAATCCTGCCATGAACTTTCATGTGCAAGTTTTTGTGTAAAGATATGTTTTCACTCTTTTGGATGATTACCTAAGAGTGAAGTGTCTCGTCACATGACAACTCCGTGATTAACCTTTCAAAAAACTGCCAAATAGTTTCTCAAGGCCTGTATTTTCACCAGCAATGTATGAGTCTCCAGTGTCCATGAGTCTCCATGAGTCTTGGGAGGCTGAGGCACGAGAATCGCTTGAAACTGGGAGGCGGAGGTTGCAGTGAGCTGCGATCGCGCCACTGCACTCCAGCCTGGGCAACAAAGTGAGAGTTTGTCTCAAGAAAAAAAAAAAAAAAAAGGTCAGGCATGGTGGCTCATGCCTGTAATCCTAGCACTTTGGGAGGCTGAGGCAGATGGATCTCTTAAGCTTAGGAGTTCAAGACCAGCCTGGGCAACACAATGAGACCCCCCATTTCTAAAAAAAAAAAAAATATACAAAATACAAAAATTTTTGCCAATATCTGATATTATTTGTCTTTTTGGCTACTATAGCCAGCCCTAGTAGATGTGAAGTGGTATCTCATTGTGTTTGTCTGTCTTTTTTTTTTTTGAGACAGGTTCTCACTTTGTTGCTTAGGCTGGAGTGCAGTGGTGCAGTCACAGCTCACTGCATACTTGTCCTCCTGGGCTCAAGTGAGACAGAGTCTTGCTCTGTTGCCCAGTCTGGAGTGCAGTGGTATGAGCTTGGCTCACTGCAGCCTCTGCCTCTCGGGCTCAAGTGATCCTCCTGCCTTAGCCTCTGGAGTAGCTGGGATTACAGGTATGTGCCACCATGCCTGGCTAATTTTTGTATTTTTTTTTGTTTGCTTTTTGTTTTTTGAGATGGAATCTCGCCCTGTTGCCCAGGCTGGAGTACAGTGGCGCAATCTTAGCTCACTGCGACCTCCGCCTCCTGGGTGATACACCTGCTTTGGCCTCCCAAAGTGCTGGGATTACAGGTATGAGCCACCGTGCCCGGCCTAATTTTTGTATTTTTGGTAGAGACAGGATTTCACTGTATTGGCTAGGCTGGTCTGGAACTCCTGGCTTCAAGCGATCCACCTGACTTGGCCTACCTCCCAAAGTGCAGGAATTACAGGCATGAGCTATTGCACCCGACCTGATTTTTAAATAATTTGTGGAGACAGGGTCTTGACATGTTGCCCAGGCTGGTATTGAACTCCTGGGCTCAAGTGATCGTCCCAACATGGCCTCTCAAAGTGTTGGTCTTATAGGTGTGAGCCACTGCATCTGGCCAAGATGAATACTTGTAGTTTCTTTTTCAACAACAAAAACATCTAAATGACTGGCTGGATAATGACCTAATTGCTTTCAACATTTGGCCGTTTCAGTTGGTGGGACAATTTTCGCCTTTCATATTGCTTGTATACCTCTGAGTCATCTTCAGTAGAGTGCTGTAGTCAAAGCAAAGCACCTCAATATAGTTGTACAGAACCTACAAGGAAGTGCTTAAGGCTCACGTAAATGTTACCTAGACTTTTCAATGTCTCCTTTACATTTTCCTCCTTCTTACTTTAGCCGCTTTTATTTGTATTTTCCTTTTTTTTTTAGGTTGCAGTTGTTCTGATGGATACCCAGGGGGCATTTGACAGCCAGTCAACTGTGAAAGACTGTGCTACCATCTTTGCTCTAAGTACTATGACTAGTTCTGTTCAGGTAAAAACCACTTGACTTGGAAATAAGTTTGCAAAGGAAATAAGATAAAGGGAGGAAATACAGTTTTGGTTATTCTGTTAACAGAATTTCTATGGTGATATGTAAATATTATTTTTAAACTGTAGATTCAGTTAAGCTCTTAAAAGCTTGAGAAGGAGCCAAAGAATTTTTCCTCTTTGGTTATAATTATATATAATGTGTTCTAAGGAAAGTCCAAAAAATGGAAATTTATATCCATTACATCATATAGAAAATATAGATTTGATAAGAACTTAGGAAAACTATATTTTAAACTGTAAAGGAAGAATTTTTTGATTTCAACCTTATGTGCATAATTTTCCAAAAGACAGGTCATATTGCTGTTTGAACAGGCCTCATGTTCTCATATGCAAGTCTCTAATTGTTTAAAGCTCCTGTCAGCCCTTTGGGCTCATTTAGGGTTTGTTTGAAGTAAACCAGGGAAGTATCAATCTGGATTTTTGTTTTCTAGATTTATAATTTATCCCAGAACATTCAGGAAGATGATCTTCAACAGCTGCAGGTATATATTTCTCATAACAATTTTAGCGTCATATTATTTAAAAGTTTTAAGATTAAGAAAATTTTTACAGCTTAGTAGTTTTTAGCAAAAGATTGAAATGTGAAGGAAGGTTTTTGGTTCATGGTAATTCTGCACTGTATATTCATTGCTGGGGTGGAGCAGGGGTGGTCAGGGAAGGCCTTACTGATTTGAGCAGAGAACCAAAGAAAGTGGGGAAGTGAGTCCTTCAGATACATTTGGGTGGAAAACCATTACAGGAGAGGAGCAGCTGCTGGAAGACAGACCCTGAAGGGAGTGTACTTGGCAAGATCAAGGAATGGTAAGGAGGCTAGTGGGTAGGACTGGAGAGTGACAGGAAGGGGCTAAGTGATGAATTTAAAGAGGCAGTGAGGTCCCAGTCATGCTGGGTCTTTTCCTCTGGGGCAGGTGGGAGCCATGGGAGGGTCTTCAGCAACAACATTATCTGACATGTTGTAAAGGGATCATTCTGGCTGCCATGTTCAGAGTAGATTTTTATGGGGAGGGTATATTCAGTGAGACCGATCACGGAGCGATTGCAGTAATTCATATGAGGTTAAATAAATTAGTATTTTTAAATGCATGCCTGGAAAATAGTATGTGCTTAATAATTGCTATTGTTGTTTTTATTGCTATTGCTATTATTATCCAGTGACTTCTCTTCTCCATAGCAGCAGTTCTTTTCCTTTGTTTCTTCTTTTTTTTTTTCTGAGGTGGAGTCTCACTCTGTGGCCCAGGCTGGAGTGCAATGGCGTGATCTTGGCTCAGTGCAACCTTTGCCTCCCGCGTTCAAGCGATTCTCCTGCCTCAGTCTCCTGAGTAGCTGGGACTACAGGCACGTGCCACTGCGCCCGGCTAATTTTTGTATTTTTAGTAGAGACGGGAGTTTCACCATCTTGGCCAGGCTGGTCTCGAACTCCTGACCTTGTGATCCACCCACCTTGGACTCTCAAAGTGCTGGGATTACAGATGTGAGCCACTGTGCCCAGCAATTTTCTTCTCTTTTTTATAGCAGCAGTTCTTATCAGTTTTTCCCATAAAATGCTCTTCCGTGGGTATTCCAGGGTTGGATGCAATTCCTGGTATATTGCTCTAATGCTGCTTCTCCCACTGACATTCAAGAAAACATCAGAATGTGAGTGAGTAAGGGCATCATTATTATAGGGATTACCTTATTAGTTCTATTTTATGTTTCTTTAAAAAAACAAGGAAAATTCCTCTTAAACCTTGGTCCTTAATGTTGCTATGGCAATTGCTTGTGCTTTATAATTAGACGTTCTATTCCAGTTCCATGGCTCGGTGGTTGAGAGCTCTTGCTCTGTACAACTTCCATCACAACTTGCGTTGGTCACCATTTCACCTGGAATTTGTTCCTTCCTTTCACACATTTTTTGAATGCTTACTTTGTGTGAGGAAGAGGACCAAGTGCCATAGATACATGTAAGGTCACACAGGTACCAGGTGCTAGGACTTTAACGTATTTTTCTTCAGGACACAGTTCATACCCCAGAGATAGTAAGCAGATTATGATGCACTTATGTAATTCACCTTTTTGATTTTTTTGAGAGAGTCTCTGTCACCCAGGCTGGAGTGCAGAAGTATGGTCTCAACTCATGGCAACCTCTGCCTCCCCAGGTTCCAGCAATTCTTGTGCCTCAGCCTCCCAAGTACCTGGGACTACAGACATGCACCGCCATGCCTGCCTGATTTTCATACTTTTAGTAGAGACGGGGTTTCAGCAATTGGTCAGGCTGATTTCTAACTCCTGACCTTAAGTGATCCAGCCGCCTCAGCCTCCCAAAGTGCTAGGATTATAGGTGTGAGCCACTGAGCCTGGCCTAATTCACCTTTGATGCTATTCTCGAGAGCTCCATCATACTCTGGTACCTCAAACCCCAGGTATGTTTAAGCATCTCTTTCCCATAATCGTTTCAACATCAACCTTTCCTGATTCTTTTTATTGTATGCAATTCTACATCTCCTGCAATGATTTTGTTACCTTGTGTGGTTTTTTTTTTTTTTTTTGAGATGGAGTTTTGCTTTTTTCTTTTTCCCTGAGACAGAGTCTTGCTCTGTCACCCAGGCTGCAGTGGAATGGCGTGATCTTGGCTCACAGCAATCTCTAGCTTCCGGGTTCAAGCAGTTCTCCTTCCTCAGCCTCCTAAGTAGCTGGGATTATAAGCACCTGCCATCATGCCCAGCTGGTTTTTATATTTTTAGTAGAGAAGGGGTTTCACCAAGGCCAGGCTGGTCTCAAATTCCTTGTGATCCACCCGCCTCAGCCTCCCAAAGTGCTGGGATTACAAGCGTGAGCCACCACGTCCAGCTGGAGTTTCTCTCTTTTTACCCAGGCTGGAGTGCAATGGCACAATCCTGGCTCACTGCAACCTTCGCCTTCTGAGTTTAAGTGATTCTCCTGCCTCAGCCTCCTGAGTAGCTGGGACTACAAGGCGAGTGCCACCATGCCTGGCTTCTTCAGGCATTTACATTGTTTTCCAAATTAATTAAAACCAAACCTTGGTTTATTCTTCAGTTCAGTACATTTCACATGGCTTGTTTCGTTTCCATGATCAATTATGAGTTTTCATTTTATAGTAGCTTAAGCACTCTTCTTTAGTAAAGCAGATGTTCATACTTCCTGTAGAATTCAACTTGGTTAATTCTTGTAACTTTTTTTTTTCGTCTCACTTTGTCACCCAGGCTGGAGTGCAGTGGTGCGATCTTGGCTCACTGCAACCTCTGCCTCCTCAGTTCAAGTGATTCTCCTGTCTCAGCCTCCCCAGTAGCTGGGACTGTAGCCACTCGCCACCATGCCTGGCTGATTTTTGTATTTTTAGTAAAGATAGAGTTTCACCACATTGGCCAGACTGGTCTTGAACTCCTGACCTCAGGGGATTCCACCTGCCTTGCCCTCCCAAAGTGCTGGGATTGCAGGCATCTTACAACTTTTGAAATAGGTTCTTTGTTTTTTGCTAATGTCTCTCCCTATTTTCCTGTTAGGCAATATGATTTCTTTTCTTTTATCTCAATTCAAAATTTGCATTTTTTTAAAACTTTTATTTACTTATCTATTTTTTTGAGACAGGGTCTCACCCTGTCGCCTGGGCTGGAGGGCAGTGGTACGATCATGGCTCACTGCAGCCTTGACCTTCCAGTCCCAAGTAGAGGTAGATCCTCCTACTTCAACCTCCCAAGTAGCTGAGACCACAGGCATGTACCACCACACCTAGCTTTGTTATTTTATCATTGTAGAGATGAGGTGTCCCCGTATTTGCCACTGGACTTAATGGACAGAGGATTTGTCTCAAATGACAAGGCTCATGGTAGACTCAGCAACTGCATAATATAAATATTACAAAGGAAAAAATAATATGTTTATGTGCCTGGAAATCCAAAGAATCAACTAGAGAACTATTTAGAGCTTAAAAAATAATTAAGGTATCTATCACAAAATACAGATTAAAAAATCATTAGGTTTTCCTCTCTACTAACAATAACCAGTTTAAAAATGTAATGGAAAAAATTGACTATAGCAACAAAATATTGAAAGCAGAATAAACTTAAAAAGATATATATGGAGCACTTCAGAATCGTATGAAGCATATAAAAGATGTAAGCGCATGTGGAAATATGCCTTGTTTCTTCTATATGGGGTGATAATAGCCAACGTATATTCATTGCTTACTTTGTACCAGACACGGCTGTGTATTATAAACATTGTCTTACCTGAGACTATTATAAGGTTGTCAGTTCTTCCCCACTAAGCAGAATCATAAAGGCATTATTTTGGGAACTTGACAGAATTGTTATGAAATTAATTTGGAAAGTTAAATTGTAAAACAGCCAAGGAAATTACAGGGGGTAGGAGAAACATGAGATAATTGACTTAGTACATATCGTAAATCTGTAATTACAAGAACATGGCATTGGTTCAGGAAAAAAATTGATGGGTGTGCTATACTTATGATATACTGCATTTTCATATATTTTATTCTACTTAAGAATATATACACATATACCATAAAGGATAGATCAGTCAATAAATGGTGTTAGGATAGTTGGCTATATATTTAGATAAGTTAGAAATTATATTCCTCTTTGGGATGCTGGGCAGGCTGATCACCTGAGTTCAGGAGTTTAAGAACAGCCTGACCAACATGTTGAGACCCCATCTCTACTAACAGTACAAAAAAAAAAATTAGCTGGGTGTGGTGGCACATGCCTGTAATCCCAGCTACTTGGGAGGCTAAGCCTGAGAATCACTTGAACCCAGGAGGCAAAAGGTTGAAGTGAGCCAAGATCACACCACTGCACTCCAGCCTGGGCAACAGAGTAAGACTGTCTCAAAAAAAAAAAAAAAATCATATTTCTACCTTGTACTATATACAAAAATTCCAGATAGACCAGATAGATTAAATACGTTGATGTAAAAAAGAGAAATCACAGTTGGGTGTGTGGTGGCTCATGCCTGTAATTCCAGCACTTTGGGAAGCTGAGGAGGGTGAGTCACGAGGTCAGAGTTCGAGACCAGCCTGGCAAACATGGTGAAACCTTTTCTCTACTAAAAATACAAAAATTAGCTAGGTGTGGATGTTTAGGCAGCTAATAATTTAACTTTCCAAATTAATTTCATAACAATTCTCTCAGGTTCCCAAAAGAATGCCTTTATGATTTTGTTTAGTGGGGAAGAACTGACAACCTTATAATAGTCTCAAATAAGATAATGTTTATAATACACAGCAGTGTCTGGTACAAAATAAGCAATGAATACTCAGTTCAGAACCTGAATATTAATATTTCTGCAATGAAATACATGACAAATGAAATGGGGGTAAATAAGCCTATAAAAAGCTTCATGTCAGTTCAAGGCAGGTTTTTCTAACAAATAAGTTTCCCACCTAACCTGAGTTTTTAGTAATTTTTTTTTTGGAGACAAAGTCTTCCTCTGTCGTCCAGACTGGAGTGTAGTGGCTCGATCGTGGCTCACTTCATCCTCTGCCTTCCCAGTTTGAGTGATTCTGCTCCCTTGGCTGCCTGAGTAGCTGGGTCTGCAGGTGCATGCCACCACACTCGGCTAATTTTTTTGTACTTTTAGTAGAGACAGGGTTTCACCATGTTGGTCAGACTGGTCTTGAACTTCTGACCTGAAATGATTTGCCTGCCTCGGCCTCCCAAAGTGCTGGGATTACAGGTGTGAGCCACTGTGCCTGGCTTTTTCTTTTTCTTTCTTTTTTGTTTTTTGAGGCAGTCTCACTCTGCTGCCCAGGCTGGAGTGCAGTGGTGCGATCTCAGCTCACTGAAACCTACACCTCCCGGGCTTAAGTGATTCTCCTGCCTGAGAAGCTGGGATTATAGGTGCTTGCCTCCATGCCCAATTTTTGTATTTTTAGTGAGACAGGGTTTTGCTCTGTTGGCCAAGCTGGTCTCGAACTCTGGACGTCAAGTGATTTACCTGCCTTTGCCTCCCAAAGTGCTGGGATTACAGGCATGAGTCATAGCACCCAGCCCTGCTAAGAGGCTTTTCTCAAATGTCTAGCTGGTAGTCCTTGACCACTTGTTTAAGAGAGAGCCACTAACAGTCGAACTGGGAGCTTTGATAAGAGGATAGGCCTTGGGTACTGGTTTGGATCACAGTGAGGTAGGTGGTCGGGCAAGGTTATCTAGCTATTTTGTTGCCAGCTCCCAAATATCTGTTTTTTACAGATCTTTATTCTTGGGTTGTCAGTTTCCCTAGAGAAAATTTCTTTAAACTCCTGCCTTGGCGGGTAGAAGCTTGCTGTGGCACCCAGTAGGGTGAGAAGGCTAAAGAGTCTCACCACTCCATATGACTTAATACCTGTTTCCAGGAAGGTAGCAGACTTACTCCTAACCTCAGCTGAGTTTGGTATCTAAGTCTAGATTTTTTTTTGGATTTATCTTCATATACTACATTTCCCATCTTCTGTGGAGAAAGGAAAAATATGAGAGTGAGAGAGGGGAACCTGGGAGTGTCGGTGCTTTCTCCTAAAACTCACATAGTTCCTAGTTGTCAGTGCACTTCTACACCTCCTCTTGTAAGGGAACTGCATGCTTATAATTTCTGAGCATTTCAGGGATTCTACTGAGAGAATCTACTTATTCCTTGTTTGGCCCCTGCTTCTTCCAGATTTCTTAGCAGAACAGAGAAAGCCAAACTTGAGACAGTTCTAATTTGTCTCGTTTGTCTGTTTTTCCTCCAGAATGTTTTTGGCAGCTCTTTTCTGCAGGCTTCTTTATCCTGTTTATTTATTTATTTACTTTTAAACTTTGTTTTGTTATGCTTTTAGTGAGGCTTCCTGAAGAAATGGAGGTAAATATACAGGTAAACCTTAACCTTAAAGAATTAGTCATTTTAGGCCAGGCGCGGTGGTTCACGCCTGTAATCCCAGCACTTTGGGAAGCTGAGGTGGGTGGATCACCTGAGGTCAGGAGTTTGAGACCGGTCTGACCAATATGGTGAAACCCATCTCTACTAAAAATACAAAAATTAGCTGGGCATGGTAGTGTGTGCCTGTCGTCCCAGCTCATCGAGATGCTGAGACAGGAGAATTGCTTGTACATGTGAGGCAGAGGTTGCAGTGAGTCAAGATCATGCCACTGCACTCCAGCCTGGGTGACAGAGAGAGACTCTGTCTCAAAAAAATACCAAAAAAACCCAAAAAAGCAGAATTCAGTCATTTGAATGGCATATATATATATATATATTTTTTTTTTTTTTTTTAATTTTTTTTTTTGAGATGGAGTCTCACTCTGTCCCCCAGGCTGGAGTGTAATGGTGTGATCTCGGCTCACTGCAATGAGAATTGCAGTGAGAATGTTCGAAATCATATTCACTCGTGTTTCTCCGATGTCTGCCTCCCGGGTTCAAGCAATTCTTCTGCCTCAGCCTACTGAGTATCTGGGATTACAGGCATGTGCCACCATGCCTGGCTGATTTTTTGTAGTTTTAGTAGAGATGGGGTTTTGCCATGTTGGTCAGGCTAGTCTTGAACTCCTGACCTTGTAATCTGCCTGCCTGGGCCTCCCGAAGTGCTGGGATTACAGGCGTGAGCCACTGCGCCCGGCCTTGAATGGCATAAATATTATGGGCCTAATACTTTCCTTGTTGCTGGAAATTCAGTAGTGTACAAAACAGGCAAATATTCCTGCCCTCATGGAGTTATTAAATGCTGGTAGTAACGACAGATGCAAAGCAAGACAAGAAGAAGTATAGTATATCAGATAATGATAAATGTATAAATGTTAAGAAAAAGTTTTTTTTGAGACATGAAGTGGGAAATATTTGCAAAGTTGTAATCTTTTTATGTAGATGGCCATGGATGGCTTCACTGAGAGGGAGCCATTTGAGTAAAGACTTTAAGAAGTGTGTGAGCTGATCATTAGGTTATTTGGGAGAACTTACAGTTAGTGGGAGGAGCCAGTAAAAAGGTCCTAAGGCAGCAGTATGCCCACATGTTTGAAGAACAGGAAGGAGGGCCAGTGTGGCTGCATCACCCTATAAGGACTGGCTTTTATACTGAATGAGGTTGCAGGGTTTTGAGCAGAGCCATGGGATGATCTAACTAAGCATATAATAGCAGAGTCACTGTGGCTGCTATATTGAGAATAGCCTGTAGGGAGGCACTGGCCGAGGCAGGGAGACCATTTGGGAGGTGATTGCAGTATTCCAAGGCCCATGGGAATAGTGAGGGGCTGGATTCTGGATTTGCTGATGAATTGACATGTGGGATGTGAGCAAGAAGTAACCAAGATGATTTTAAGATTCATGACTGCTGTGGACATTTGAAACTATAGAACTCTGGTCTCAATATAAATAGTATCTAGTCTGTTAATGAATACTTTGCTAAAGAAAAGCCATAGAACTATTTTAAGTAATTTTGCTTTACAAACCATAATGCTTCTGTTTTAAAGCTCTTCACAGAATATGGTCGTCTGGCAATGGATGAAATTTTCCAAAAGCCTTTCCAGGTTAGAATATTTATTATAAATATAATTCATTTCTTTGTTTTTGTTCATGATTGGCAAACTACAGCTCATAGGCCAAATCTGGCCTGCCACCTGTTTTTATATGACTTGTGATCTAATAATGGTTTTTACATTTTTAAATGGTTGAAAAAAAATGAGAAATACTATTTTCGATGTGTAAATTATCTGAAATTCCAATGACAGTGTCTATAGGTAAAATTATAGTGGAACACAGCCATTCTCATTTCTTTTTGTACTGTCTGTAACAGCTTTCCTGATACAATGACACAGTTGAGTAATTGCTTACAAAATAAACTCTCTGGGCTGGGTGTGGTGGCTCACGGCTGTAATCCCAGCACTTTGGAGAGGCCCAGATGGAAGAATTGCTAGAGCCCAGCTGGTCAACATAGCAAGACATCTCTTAAAAAAATGGGGGTAGGCGTGGTGGTTCACACCTATAATCCCAGCACTTTGGGAGGCCAAGACAACCAAATCACCTGAGGTCAGTAGTTCGAGACCAGCCTGGCCAACATGGTGAAACCCTGTCTCTACTAAAAATACAAAAATTAGTTGGGTATGGTGGTGGCCGCCTATAATCTCAACTACTTGGAAGGCTAAGGCAGGAGAGTCACTGGAGCCTGGGAGATGAAGGTCACAGTGAGCTGAGATCATGTCACTGCACTCCAGCCTAGGCCTGACAGAGTGAGACTTTGTCTCAAAAAAAAAAAAAATAGTGGTTGTGTTCTCCTGTTGTCCCAGCTACTCGGTGGGGCTGAGGTGGGAGGATCACTTAAGCCTAGGAGGTCAAGGTTGCAGTGAGCCATGATTGCGCCACTGCACTCCAGCCTGAGCAACAAAGCAAGACCGTCTCAACACACACACACACACACACACACACCCAGCAGCCTGGGCAACAAGCAAGACCATCTCAACACACATACATGTGTAAACACACATATACACACACACACAGACTCTCTTTCTCTCTCTCTCTCTCTCCCTCTCCTTCTCTCTCTCCCCAGAAGGTCTTTGCTGATCTCAACTTTAGCTGAATGTTTCTTGAGAATGAGGAAGCACAGCAGCCTTAATCAATGGGATTAGAGATGCTTTCAGTATGTGAGCCTTATTTCTTTTCCTTTCTAATTTTTTTTTTTCCTTGAGTTGGAGTTTGACTCTTAAGATTTTGCTCAGGCTGGAGTGCAGTGGCACCATCTTGGCTCACTGCAACCTCCGCCTCCCAGGTTCAAGCAACTATCCTGCGTCAGCCTCCTGAGTAGCTGCAATTATAGGCACCTGCCACCATGCCCGGCTAATTTTTTGTATTTTTAGTGGAGATGGGATTTAATCATGTTGACTAGGCTGGTCTCAAACTCCTGACCTCAGGTGATCCGCCTGCCTAGGCCTCCCAAAGTGAAGGGATTATAGATATAAGGAAAACCATGCCTGGCTTTCCTTTCTAATACTAAAAGCAGATCTGACTTTTTTTTTGAGATGGAGTTATACTCTGTTGCCCATGCTGGCTCGATCTTGACTGCAACCTCCGCCTCCCAGGTTCAAGCGATTCTCCTGCCTCAGACTCCTGAGTAGTTGGGATTGCCACCATGCCCAGCTGATTTTTGTATTTTTATTAGAAATGAGTTTTCACCATATTGGCCAGGCTGGTCTTGAACTCCTGACCTCAAGTGATTCACCCGCCTTGGCCTACCAAAGTTCTGGGATTACAGGCGTGAGCCACTGTGCCTTGCTGCAGATCCGATTTTATAATTAGCTGGTGCCATATGGTTTTCTCTTTTGTCCTTTACTCTATTCCCCACAGATGTCTTTAAGGCAGAGCCCCAAATTTACCATTCTCATTAATGTCTTCCTTTTGTTCCTACTAACCTTGGGAACAAAAATAGCAGATAGGCTTTATTGACCTTATATTTGTCTGAAACATGTCCTTCCAGTGTTTGTAAAACTTCTAAGACATTACAGAATAGATAAATCTGGCTGGATGTGGTGGCTCACACCCGTAATCTCAGCACTTTGAGAGGCCAAGGCCAGAGGATTGCTTGAGGCCAAGAGTTCAAGACCAGCCTGAGGAACAGAGCAAGACCTCATCTCTACAAAAAAAATAAAAAAATAAGCAAGATGTAGTGGCATATGCCTGTAGTCCTGATTACTCAGGAGGCTGACGTGGAAGGATCGCTTGAGCCCAGGAATTCCAGGCTACAATGAGCTATGATTGTGCCACTGCTTGCCTTAGTGACAGAGCAAGACCCATTCTCCAAATCATTCTATCCATCCTTCAGTACATATCTTTACCCCCTTTGTAGAAGCTGGCATTATGCAAAGATGTATTACAGTTGTTCTCTTGAAAACTTGTTTATGCATTGTTAAAATATGTTCTCCTCTTTTCTTAAATAGACACTGATGTTTTTGGTTAGAGATTGGAGTTTCCCTTATGAATACAGCTATGGACTACAAGGAGGAATGGCATTTTTGGATAAGCGTTTACAGGTCAGTGGGACTATAATCTTCTGAGGAATTATCTAAAAGTAGTGATGGTTTTCTCATTTACCTTTGGCTATTGTATTTAAAGCAGTTATTGAAAATGATATTGAATACATTAACTATATGAATCTTAACAGAAGCTAATATTTATTCCTGATGAGATTAACGACCCTGTGTATACAGTACATGGGGACTGTAGAAGAAAATTCTGGTCAGATGCCCAAGCTTTGATTATAATTTCCATTTTACATTTTAAACCAAGTTCTATATGTGCCTTTAGAAGTCACACTCAGAATTTTAGTTATGTTATTCTGATTCAAAAGTTTTACTTATTTTGGCATAGATATAGACAGTAAACAGGCCTAACCTGTTCTCCCAAACCAAAACACAGCAGTCTTTTGTTTGTCTCTGCTAATTGGTTAGATGCTCCTTCATCCCCTACCATCCCTTGTTCTTCCTAAGTATTATGCAATACTCCTTTTAAAGAAACTCTTCTGCACCTGTTTGTTAGCCATAGGAGTCAAGCCATAGGTAATCAGATTTATGTGTTTATTGCTTCTTAAGCTTCTGAGTTTTCTCATTTGGCAACTGTGATCCCTCAGAGTTGAGAAGTCTTCTTTCCTTTGTCCTTATACTAGTTGTCCCTAGTGAAGAAAACCAAATGATTTTTGTTTGGTAAATTGTTGGTCTTCATTGGTAGGTGAAGGAACATCAACATGAGGAAATTCAGAATGTTCGAAATCACATTCACTCGTGTTTCTCCGATGTCACCTGCTTTCTCTTACCGCATCCAGGACTCCAGGTGGCCACAAGCCCTGACTTTGATGGGAAATTAAAAGGTGTGTTACAGATGTTGCTATTTTAAACATGTGATTTGATCTTTGGAATTAAATATAATGAATCACTTACAAATCAAGTGAATGCTTAAGAAAAATGGTGTGATCTCTTAGCGTAGTATTTAAAGTCTAGTTCGGATTTTACTCCTGACTTACTGCGACCATCAGAATTAGTTTACCTTGACTTCTCCATCTGAAATGGTGCTGTTAATATCCATTAGTAGTCTTTCTAAGAGACTCATTATGGTTCTTGGTTTACAAGAGATACAAATGCTAAATAAAGGAGGACCAGACATTAGTCAGCTAATATTAAGTAAAATTAACTTCCCAAGGGAAGGCAGCGTGATGCATGGCAAAGCTATTATTTTCATCTTATTTGTGATTATAGCAAAACCTGACGCTGGGTCATGTGCTAATGTCAGGAAGTGCTAACTAAATGGTAGGTGAGAGGAATCGTAGTTGGGACTCGTGGACCCCATTATCTTATTTTTGTTCCTGTTTCGTTAAGGCCTTGAGTCATTAAATGGCTGGCCCTTAATTTACACATATGTTAAACTGAGCACTTGTTAATAAGCTTATCCGAATCTCTCAGATTCCTGGTAATGTTTGTGACACTATGCTAGGTACTTTGATACTTACGCTCCCAGTAATTCCACGAAGTTGATGTCATTTCCTTATAGGTGAGGAAAATGGCAAAAACAGTTAAGGAAAAGGAGGAAAGTTAAGTAACTTCTCAAAGTGCTCAGCTACTAGTAAGTGAGTAAGTGGTGAGGCATAGATTTACATCCAAGTTCTTGTTGCTCCAAACCCATACTGCGCTAAAATAAGGGTTCTTCTGTTATATGGAAGGAATCATGTAGAGGATATATACTGTTTAGTTACTACAGGAACTTTTGAAGAGAAGGGTTTTCATAGCCTCATATTGAATATAAAATGTACCATTTTCAACCTGTTTGATCCAGTTGATCCAAGAAAATGAATGTTCAACTCAAGATTTTTATTCCAGCTGGTCTCAATATTGCAAAGAACCTGGTTAATGATACTTAACTTTTACCTTTTATTTGTCACTTCTCTGACGTTTTTACGTGGTTGGCAGCTCTCCTGAGGAGACTTCCCTGGCCTGTTTCATGGCAATTGAATCTAAGACAGTTGCTTTGGGAGATAAATCTGCTTGGCAAGCACTGGACCTGAAAAGCAGTTTCAAGGGAGTTTTCAGAGCTGAGTAGGGAGAGAAGGTTGTGTAGGTCTCTAGGTAATATATTGTTTAGGATCATAAGGCTCCATTGTTAGTTGTACTTTTACCAACCTGAACTCAGATTTGTTCGCCACTGATAGGGAATGTGTCCAGTGGAATTCTTAAATGGAGGTGTTAGGAGAGGATGAATTAGAGTGCCTCCTAGTGATGATCCAGTGTAAACACATGCAAATGGCATTCTTCCATAGTTTCAATTTTAACATTCCAATGCATTGCTTTGAAGTTAATTTTCATTTTTATCATGTTATTCAGGAAGTAGGCAGAGTTTTTTAAAAGTTCAGTAACCTGGCTTTTGAAATGTCATGTCACTTTTGGTTGTATTAATTTCCTGTGGCTACCTTTAACAAATTAACATAAACTAGGTGGCTTAAGACAAGAGAAATTTATTCTCTCACAAGTCAGGGGGCCAGAAATCCAAAATTACGGTTGGTTCTACCAGGAGACCCTGAAAGAAGAACCTGTCCCACACTCTTTCCTAGCTTCCTGCTGGAAGTTGCCAGCAGCCCTTGACATTCCTTGACCTACCTTGAGTTGCCTCTAAACTCTTTGTTATCATATGACAGCCTTCGTTGTGTGTTCTCTCTTCTTCATGTCAGCACACCAGTCTTTGGATTTAGGGTCAATCCAGTATGACCTCCTCATAGCTAATTACATTTGCAAGACTGTTTCCAAATAAGATTTTCTGAAGTTCCAGGTGGACATGCATTTTGTTTGGGAGGGGGCTGCTGTTCAACTCACTGTACACATATATAGATTATGAATGGTTTAATCACTAAATATTAAGTGTGTCAAGTTTCATTTATATATTACATTTATAAGATAGGGAAGAAATTCTGTAGGAGCAATCTTTAGTCTCATACTTAGGTACTATTTGGTTTCCTCATCAAGATAAAACTATAAAATGCACTTGTAAAGCCTAAATTTTCCTTTCTTACATGAAAAAGCAAGTCCAAAAAGAAGAAATACAAATGGTCATTATATATTAATGAAAATATATGCAGCATCACAATAATCAAGAAAGCACAAAAGCGTTGGTGACAAATTATAGTCTTTATGGACTGTAATGTGGCAGTATCAGAATTCAGAATGTTCATGTCCTTTGATCCATTATCCCATTTATGGGAATTTATCCAAAAAACTGTTTAAATAAGTGGATAAAAATATGTAGACTGGCTGGGCACAGTGTGGCTCATGCCTGTAATCCTAGCACTTTGGGAGGCTGAGGTGGCCAAATCATCTGAGGTCAGCAGTTTGAGACCAGCCTGGCCAGTATGGTGAAGCCCCATCTCTACTAAAAATACAGAAATTAGCTGGGTGTGGTGGTGGGCGCTTGTAATCCCAGCTACTTAGGAGGCTGAGGCAGGAGAATCACTTGAACCTGGGAGGCAGAGGTTGTAGTGAACCAAGATGGCGCCACTGCACTCCAGCCTGGGTGACACGAGCGAAACTCTGTCTCAAAAAGAAATGTATACTGTGGTAGCATTATTATCATAGACTATAACTGGAACCAACCCAAATGTATATTTATGAGGAGTTGTTTAGATTATGGTACACCTCAGCCTTGGCAGCATATGGAGATTCCATCTCTAAAAATAAATACTAGCTGGACAGGGTGGTGTACCCCTGTGATCCCAGTTACTTGGAAGGCCGAGGTAGGATTGCTTGAGCCCAAGAGGTCAAGGCTGCAGTGAACTGTGATTGCACCACTGCACTTTAGCCTGGGTGACAGAGTGAGACCCTGTCTAAAAAAAAAGAAAATGAAGGTACATCTGCCCAAAGGAATAAAATGCAGTCATTAGAAGGTTGAGGGCAGGGCGTGGTGGCTAACGCCTGTAATCCCAGCACCACTTTGGGAGGCCGAGGTGGGCAGATCATGAGGTCACGAGATTGAGACCATCCTGGCCAACAGGGTGAAATCCTGTCTCTATTAAAATACAAAAATTTAGCTGAGCATGGTGATGTGTACCTGTAGTCCCAGCTACTTGGGAGGCTGAGGCAGGGGAATTGCTTGAACCTGGGAGGCTGAGGTTGCAGTGAGCCAAGATTGTGTCACTGCATTCCAGGCTGTGTGACAGAGCAAGACTCCGTCTCAAAAAAAAAAAAAGGATAAGGTAGATAGATGAATCTATGTGTCTTTATGTAGAAGGATGTCTGTGATATATTATTAAATGTAGAAAGATTGTGGAGTAGCATATGTGATATATGTTTAAATTTTTATTTACTTATTTATTTTAGAGACAGGGTCTTGCTCGGTTGCTGAGGCTGGAGTGCAGTGGCATGATGATAACTCACTGTAGCCGCTAACTCCCAGTCTCAGGTGATCCTCCCACCTTAGCCTCCCCAGTAGCTAGGACTATAGGCATGCACCACTATGCCTGGCTAATTTTTTTATTGTTTTGCAGAGATAAGGTCTCCCTATGTTACCCAGGCTGGTCTTGAACTCCTGACCTCAAGTAATCCTCTCACCTCAGCTGCTCAAAGTGTTGGGATTACTGGCACAAGCTACCACACCTAGCCACTACTTTTTTGAATGGAAAGATTTGAAAAATAAAAATTTGCTCTTCTTGCCTCACTTTAAAAACATGTTAAAAGCCTGCCCTCTGTGTTTATTTAAGGAACTACAGTTACGAGGATTGTTCATGAAGAATTCTTACTAGCTATGCACAAGTTTATGTACATTTTGGATTTGGAGATGGATGTTTTATAATTTTAGGGAAGCTCTTAACCAAGATATTGAAGGGTTTTGAGTGAAGAGTAAATTGAATGCTGACTTACAAATAGCAGGTGATTTGTATTTGGCAAGTGCTAGCTGGAGAACCACACTCACTTCTGTAGGAGACCTGTTAGAGCTGATGTAGTTTTCAGAATTAAAAAGAAAAACGCAGATGTTTTATTTTCTCAGGTATATACCTGTATAGTTACATGGTTGAGATTTTGCAGTCCTATTCCATGTGACTTGGAAGAGACATTAGCCTGAGGTCGTTATGGCTAATCCATAAAAGGAACTTATGTAATTTTTGTAAAACATTTAAATTCCATAAGAACTATATTCTGAAACTATTTCTGCAAATGTTCCCCCAGATACTTTAGGAATTATTTTAGTGGTTTTATTTTTAAAGATTGACTGCTTATTTAGAGGTAGATGCCTGCCAAAGATGATCTTAGTTTTGATGTAACTGATGCTGAGCTGCTGCTTCTTGCCGTAATTATCTAGAATAGCTGCTGGTGTTTTTTTTTTGTCGTTTGTTTGTTTGTTACAAAGTCTTGTGTTCACTCTGTTGCCCCAGCTGGTGTGCAGTGGCATGATCTCAGCTCACTGCAACCTCCGCCTCTCGGGCTCAAGCAATTCTCGTGCCTCATCCTCCCGAGTAGCTGGAATTACAAAAGTGCACTACCACACCTGGCTAATTTTTTATTTTTGGTGGAAATGGGGTTTTACCATGTTGGCCAGGCTGGTCTTGAACCTCTGGCCTCAGGCAATCTGCCCACCTTGCCCTCCCAAGGTGCTGCTATTACAGTTGTCAGCCACCATGCTAAGCCTAGAATAGCTGCTTTTTGAGAATTTTTCATCAGACGCAGGATGACTGTGTTGTCAGCATAAAGAAGATTGTCATCTTCCTATTTACTGCCGCAGGGAGACCTAATGCAGTAACTACCAAGTTGGTTAGTTATAAATTACACAGGAGGGTTTTTAGGGCACAGTCTCCTTTGACATCATTAGAGGGTGTTTCTGTTATGAGACAGTTCTTGTCTATTCTGATTTTGAAACTATTATTTTGGTGTCGCTTTCATAGAAACGTGAGTAGCATAGGGTCTGTATGGTCTAGCAAGTATAGCATCTGGATCCTGCCACTTCTTGTGTGAGGTATTTTTGAAACAATCCATCCTTCAGTGTGGTGGAAATTGAAACCATACAAAAGGGTTTTTTGGATATATAATACATTCACATGTTTAGAATTTTAAAAAGGATTAAAAAATACTCAGTGAAAAGTCTTTTCCATTTTTGTAGGCTTTCAGAGTTTCTTTAGTATATGAAAGCAAATGCGAATGTGTACAGATGGCCTATTATGTATACTTTTATACTTTTTCACTACAAGGTTATAAAGTATTTTTCCCACTTTTTTCTTGAAATTTTCCAGTTTCATTTTTCGTGTTATGGTCAGGTTGGCGGAGTACTGAAGAGCTCTTACTCTGATGTGGGCTCCTACCTGCTTTTTTTCACTGATAGTTGGGAACCCAAGAAGATGTTAGAAGATTATGTACATCAGCCTTTCTGTATTTAATTCTCCTGTGTCTTCGTAGTTGGACCAGCTAGTAATTCTTACTTTGAGAAAAGAGCTCTGTTTAGCAGCTCTCCTGATCCCTCCATGGGAACTTTGTAGAAGCTGCAGAGAATCTGTCACCTTTCTTTAATTAGTGGTCTTTTCATTTTGGGGTGGTCCAGAGGGTCTCTGAGAAGATAATAGAAAAGCAATATAATGAGGCACAGGTACGTCTTCTTTTAACATTAAAAAAATTAATAAGAATAAATCAAATGGATGACCAGTGATTTCTTATCGATTTAAAGAAATAGTGTGAGGGCGTTGCAAAGGACTGAGACAACTTGAGAGGTTGAACTTGACATGTTGAAGACCTTGTTAATCAAATTCTTTAAAAAGTGAAATTTCTTAAAAGGCTAGGGAGCGGACCGGATATCACAAAGGATATTCTGCATATAGTATTCTATTTTGAATTAGAGAAGACTTTATACTCCCGTGGGGAAGGAGAAAAATGAAGGTACATTGGGACAGAGACCTATCAGCAACTTGGTCATAGCCAGGAAGTGTCAAAAGATAGTCTGGAGGTTGGGCACAGTGGCTCACGCCTATAATCTCAGCACTTTGGGAGGCCGAGGCGGGTGGGTCATGAGGTCAAGAGATCGCGACCATCCTGGCCAACATGAAAATACAAAAATACAAAAATCAGCCCGGTGTGGTGATGTGTGCCTGTAGTCCCTGATACTCAGGAGGCTGAGGCAGGAGAATCTCACTGCAGCCTCCACCTCCCGGGTTTATGGGATTCTCCTGCCTCAGCCTCCTGAGTAACTAGGATTTCAGGCACTCGCCACCACGCCTGGCTAGTTTTTATATTTTTAGTGAAGACGGGGTTTCACCATGTTGGTCAGGCTGGTCTCAAACTCCTGACCTTAGGCCATCCATCTGCCTTGGCCTCCCAAAGTGCTGGGATTATAGGCCTGAGCCACCACATCCAGCTTTTCTCCCACTTTCAATAACAATGTTAAAAGAATTACACTGGGAAGATTGCATTGTGTGTTCACCTTGATTGAATAAGGCTGTTTGGCTTATTTTTCCTTCTCTGTGGTCCTGTAAACAGATATTGCTGGTGAGTTCAAAGAGCAGTTACAAGTACTGATACCATATGTATTAAACCCATCTAAGTTAATGGAAAAGGAGATCAATGGCTCAAAGGTCACCTGTCGGGGACTGTTGGAGTATTTTAAGGTACATATGGGTTTTAATTATTAAAATGTTTGATTTTTGGTAAAGCTGATCTAACTTGTAAATCAACTTGAATTTAAATATTTTAAAACTTAAGAGAAAGTTTTCTGGGGGAGACAGCGAGAGGCATTTTCAGAGACCTCAGTGTCCTTCCAGGACTGGGCCATTGGGTGGCAGTATCGGTCTAAGAACCAAATGAATGTTCTTTGCACTCTCTTAGAGGAGCAATTAACTGTGACTAAAGGAAGATTGTTCCTCAAGGAAGATGGTGTGGACAGGAGGTGGTTAGGAAGTTGCTGTGAGTAGGAGGAGACGGCACCTAGATGTGACACGGCTGCCTCAAGGCGGATGGTCACTCTGCCCACAGGTAGTGGTGTGGCCAGCGTGCATGGGGAGCGGGATGGGAGTCCTAGCCTCTGTAGGCTTGTGCTGCTTGAGAACATTTTTAGTTAACTAAAAATGCTAACATGCACTCAAAGGTGTGTGGTGTGTTTTTGCTAATTCCTGGTTGTTGTTCTAAGTCTTAAGGAAAATGTAGTTGTATGGTCACTTTCTAAAAATTAAATATGAGGAAGATATGACTAACATTTTTATAGCAGTTTTATGTTTATATTTTAAGGCATATATTAAAATTTATCAAGGAGAAGATCTGCCTCACCCCAAGTCCATGCTTCAGGTAAACAATGATTTGACTCCTAAATGCTACTCTTTAATTACTCGAGTTGACCTGTATACAATAAGCAGAGTTCTTTAAGAAGAGAATGCACTTTTTCTCCTTTTTCATTATGCTGAGGTCTATTAATTTCTTTTTAGCACATTTTGCAGTGGTGTGGTGGCCTTCTAGTTCACTTGTTTGTATTCATGGTGGTACATTTAAAACAAAATGGCCTCTCCTCCCTGGACCTGGTCTTTTCACCAAACACGCTTTGGGAAACACAGTTTATTATACCTGGGTGAAACATACCCACTATGTTAGACAAGCAATTTCCTGTCATCTGTTGTTTATTTTTAAAATTTTTAATGTAATTTATAATTTATTTTTTGAGGCAGAGCCTCACTCTTCCCCATGCTGGAGTGCAGTGGCATGATCTCGGCTCACTGCAACCTTCACCTCCCGGGTTCAAGCAGTTCTAGGGCCTCAGCCTCCAGAGTAGCTCGAATTATAGGTGTGCTCCATCATGCCTGGCTAATTTTTGTATTTTTAGTAGAGACAAGTTTAGCCATGTTGCTCAGGCTGGTCTCAAACTCCTGAACTCAAGCAATCTACCGTCTTGGCCTGCCAGAGTGCTGAGATTATAGGTGTGAGCTACCGTGCCTGGCTATAATTTTTTTAATGAAAAAAAAGTAGAGATGTGGTCTTGCTATGTTGCCCAGGCTGGTCTCAAACTTGGCTCAAGCAATCTGCCCACCTCAGCCTCCCAAAGTGCTAGGATTACAGGTGTGAGCCATCGTGCCCGACCTGTTGTCTACTTTAGTGGAACATGTCCTGACATATCTATTTACTATTCATTTATCAGGTTTTTAATTTGTAACTAGAATGTCATTTGGTTAAAATATATAATTTTTGACTTCATATGCTGAACATAAGGGCATTTATTGCCAAATGTTGATTTCTTTTGTAGAGAACATTTTCATAAAGGGAGCTAGAGCCTGGGATCGACATTGCAAAGAATTTTTTCCTTTTTTTTTTTTTTTTTTTTTTTTTTTTAATAGAGACAGGATCCAGCTCTGTTGAGCAGGCTGGTATTGAATTACTTGGCTCAAGTGATCATCTTGCTTCAGCCTCTCAAATTGCTGAGATTACAGGCATAAGACTCCACACCCAGCTTTTTCTTCTTCTTTCTTTTTTTTGATTCACATATGTGTCTCAAAGTTGAAGTAGTGGAGCCAGATGCATGGCTTACGCCCATAATCCCAGCACTTTGGGAGGCCGACGTGGGTGGATTATTTGAGGCTGGGAGTTTAAGACCAGCTTGGACAATATAGGGAGACTCTATCTCTACAAAACAAAAACTTAAAAAGTTAGCCAAGTGTGGCACATACTGGTGGAAGAATGGCTGGCACTCAGGAGGTGAAGGTTGCAGTGGGCTGATATCACCACTGCACTCCAGCCTGGATGACAGAATGAGACTCTGTCTCAAAAAAATAAAATTAAAAAATAAAATTGAAGCAAAGGAAATAATATTTTCTTTGAATTTTGGAGATTTAATTTTTGCTAAAGATTCTTATGTATAAGAATACATATTTTTATGTATATGCACTTCTACCATATTTTTTTTTGGTAGAAAATTTGGCAGAAAAAGTGTATTTTTTTTTGAGATAGAGTCTCACTCTTTTGCCCAGGCTGGGGTGCAGTGACACGATTTTGGCTCACTGTAACCTTCGCCTCCTAGGTTAAGGCAATTCGCGTGCCTCAGCCTCCCAAGTAGCTGGGATTACAGGCATGTGCCACCATACCTGGCTGAGTTTTGTATTTTTAGTAGAGACAGGGTTTCACCATGTTGGCCAGGCTGGTCTCAAACTCCTGACCTCAAGTGATCTGCCCTCCTTGGCCTCCCAAAGTGCTGGGATTACAGGTATGGACCACCGCACCCGGCAGAAAAAGTGCATTTTATTTCATCAGTTGAACTGTATGGAAATCTAAAACAATAGAAGGTTAATAAAAAAGGAAGAATGGGGAGTGGAGAAGATTTTTGTATTAGGTTATTTGTGGAAGAATGTTAAAAGAGGAAGGATTTATATTTCACATTTTCCTCTCTTAAAAGGCCACTGCCGAAGCCAACAACCTAGCAGCTGCAGCCTCTGCCAAGGACATTTATTATAACAACATGGAAGAGGTATGTAGGACATAGGCCATATTCTGAAATATCTATAACCTGGGCATTGTTGTTGACTTCAAAAGCCCAACTTGATCCTACTTCAAGTGTTTTCAAGTGATGAGGCAACAAAGCTATACCTAGGTTGTCCTGGTAATGGGGGCTGTCTAATTATTACCATTTCTTTTTTTGTTTAGTTTTGTTTTTGTTTTTTTGAAGCAGAGTCTCACTCTGTCACCCAGGCTGGAATGCAGTGGTGCAATCTCGGTTTACTGCAACCTCCACCTCCCAGGTTCGATCGATTCTCCTGCCTCAGTCTCCTGAATAGCTGGGATTACAGGTGCTCGCCACCACAGCCAACTAATTTTTTTGTATTTTTAGTAGAGACAGAGTTTCACCATGTTGGCCAGGCTGATTTCGAACTCTTGACCTCAGGTGATCCACCTGCCTTTGCGCCCAGCAGATTTGCTGGGATTACAGACGTGAGCCCCTGCACCCGTCCCAGTGTCACTGTTCTTTCCAATTAATATTATCATCCCGGTTATTTAAGTGTGCTTTTCAGAGGAAGTGAAACTAGAGTTTATTGGCCTGAGTCATCTTTTAAAAATTAATTTATTAATATCTTGGTAACATCTTAAAACATTCTGTTACTTTTATTATCTTTTCATGTTTTATTTGGCACTCGTTTTTGAAGAGATCTTTTAACATATTGTGTCTTTGTTCTCTTTAGGTATGTGGGGGAGAGAAACCTTATTTATCTCCAGACATTCTAGAGGAGAAGCACTGTGAATTCAAACAGCTTGCTCTGGACCATTTTAAGAAGACCAAGAAGATGGGTGGGAAGGATTTCAGCTTTCGTTACCAGCAGGAGCTGGAGGAGGAAATCAAAGAATTATATGAGAACTTCTGCAAGCACAATGGTAGCAAGAACGTCTTCAGCACCTTCCGAACCCCTGCAGTGCTGTTCACTGGCATTGTGGCTTTGTACATAGCCTCAGGCCTCACTGGCTTTGTAGGTCTTGGGGTTGTAGCCCAGCTGTTCAACTGTATGGTTGGACTGCTGTTAATAGCGCTCCTCACCTGGGGCTACATTAGGTATTCTGGTCAATATCGTGAGCTGGGCGGAGCCATTGATTTTGGTGCTGCATATGTGTTGGAGCAGGTAAGTGGTGCTGCTGGAGAGCCCGAGGGTTGATAATGGGCAGATGTTTGTGCTTGTGTTGTAAAATACCTCGTTTAGAAGAATTTCCTGGTGAAGACATGAGCAATGGCCACTCCCTTGGCCGTTTTTTCCTGATAGACTTTATGTTTTATTATCTTTTTTGGATATTAATATTTGTTTGTTTTTTGTTTTTTGTTTTTGAGATGAAGTCTGGCTTTGTTGCCCAGGCTGGAGTGCAGTGGCAGAGTCTCAGCTCACTGCAACCTCCCCCTCCTGGGTTTAAGCGATTCTCCTGCCTCAGCCTCCTGACTAGCTGGGATTACAGGTGCCCGCCACCACGCCCAGCTAATTTTTGTATATTTAGTAGAGACAGGGTTTCACCATATTGACCAAGCTGGTCTTGAACTCCTGACTTCAGGTGATCCACCCCCCTCGGCCTCCCAAAGTGTTGGGATTACAGGTGTAAGCCACTGTGCTCAGCCTATAAAATGTTTTTTTAGAGACAAGGTCTTGCTCTGTCACCCAAGCTGGTATCTTAGCTCACTGTAACTTAAAACTCCTGGGCTCAAGTGAGCCTCTTGCCTCAGCCTCCCAAGCAACCGCTGTTACAGGCGAGTGTCACCACCCCCGACTAACCCAGTAGCTCTTGGACATGGACATGGTTAATATCCGTGTCCAAGGTGTTTGAGATGATACATTTGTTTTCTGAGTAACATAAACAGATGAGTTAGGTTAGCAGCTTGTGAAGCCACAGGAGCTGCCTATCCTACCCCAGTCACAGAGCACAGGTTCCCCTTACTCTCTTGGGCATTAGCTGCTGCCACAGCCTCCCTGTCTGTATCCCTGCATTTTCATTCCACTGCTTTCTGTAACATGCTGATGATGGAGACAGGATTTTGAAAGTTTATCTCCAAGGACTTACTTTCTTGTTGCTGTGTTGTATTTTATTAACCGACATGTTGAATAAATGGACTTTTGCAGGCGTCTTCTCATATCGGTAATTCCACTCAGGCTGCCGTGAGGGATGCAGTTGTTGGAAGACCACCTGTGGATAAAAAGTCTCAATAGCATCTTAAAATGAAGATCAAACAAGAACACAAGCAGCCCCTTCTGACTTCTGGGTTTCTGCCACGGCCATAGGTTCATATCCAGAGGAATGGCAGATCTGAGACCATCCAGGAAGAGCTAACACATGGCACTGTAATAAATGAGCAGACCTCTTCTGTGGTTTCAAATTATTAAATGCACTTCCATTTCTGTTGGAAGCATTTCTTTTCCTTGCTGTTATAGATGCAAGCCTGTGTCTATTTTCATATTACTCTGCTTTGTGCACTTTATGGGGGAGGAAGCTATAGGAAAAATAGAAATACAGCTCTTAAGTTCTTTATGTACCACTTAGTGCCTTTTAAGATTGATTCCATGGTTTTGCAGACACAATGGGGAGGGGATGGAGGATAACCTCATGAAAGATGCCATAGATGCCATTTTGGGGCGAAACTTGTCATTTCTTTTATAGTTTACTCTTTTGAGAAGGATTCCTTTTTTTTTTTTGAGACAGTCTTGCTCTGTTGCCAGGCTGGAGTGCAGTGGCGTGGTCTTGGCTCATGGCAACCTCCGCCTCCTAGGTCCAAGTGATTCTCCCGTCTCAGCCTCCCGAGTAGCTGGGACTACAGGTGTGTGCCACCACACTCAGCTAATTTTTTTTGTATTTTTGGTAGAGATGGGGTTTCACCATGTTGGCCAGGATGGTCTAGATCTCTTGACCTTGTGATCTGCCCACCTTGGCCTCCCAAAGTGCAGGTGTGAGCTACTGTGCCCGGCCGAGAAGGATTCCTTTTTTAAAAGTTTACAAAACTTGGAGAAACATCAGAACTAAAGACTAACTGAAAATGATATCATTACTCTTAAAAAAAATTACAATAGGGAATCCTATTGCCATATAGTGTGGAAAATTCGTATCATATTTAAATATACCATACTCTGAAATGTGAGTTTTTTACCCAGGAGGCTGACATTTTTGTTGTAACTTGCTTTATTTTTTGGAGGGGGGTCCCTGTAGCTTCTTTTTAGAAAAAGAGACAAACGTGCCTTGAAAAGCCAGAGTGGCTCATAATAAAAGGAATGAGCTAGATACTTTAAGAAAAAAGCTAAGTTTAAATGAACTGTGTGACCTCTGATAAGTCACTTGAACTTGTGCCTTGGTCAGGTTCACTGTAGGTTTACATATGTGTGTATGTTGTACACAGTCTTGTAATTGTCATTTGAGAGGTTTTCTTTTTGAGAGTTCTGCATAAGAATGGAATTTTATTATGGATTAGAGGGAAGATATTACCAAATATTACTGCCTTTAATTGATGTCTGATTTCATATGGCTTCGCAATTAATAAATAACCTGATTTAAGGTCTTCATTCAGAATGTTAATTGCATTCTCTGTCCTGTCTAATGTTCTTAATAATGAAGCTAAAATTGATCCATTTTATTTAGTGAATCATCTTCTCTTTAATTTTACTTTGGCTAATCTGATAGCTTTAAGACAGCTTTGGCTTAGTAAGGACCAAAGTCCTACCCAAATATAAACAATTTCTAGAAGTATCTAAGAGTTTTTTTTTTCTATTTACCTTGATTAGGAGATAAAAAGTTTTATCTGTTAGCTGCTTTTCCTTTTGGAATTATTGTGGATTTTAAAACTTCTTAAAACTTGCCTGCAAGTATTTATATAAACATTGAGGTATATAAGCCTTAACTTCTGAGCTAATTTAACTTTTGTTATGCGAGAGAGGTAAGAGTGCAAATTTTATATACATGAAGGTAATTATGTACATGAAGGTAAGATCTGAGTGTAAATTTTATATACATGAAGAGAAAGTCCCTTTTAGCATGTAATGTTTATTAAAGAATTTTCTTTTGACACTTTACCACTCAAGTGTTTTTGTAAGTCCTAAGTTCCCAGCATATTATATTCATATTTATATGCTGTCTTTCCCTGAAGTTCTTGCTGTTTTATTCACTTGCTGTTACACTTTAGAAAAGTTTCTGCTTGTTTACTTGCATTTATCAGTGATGCCAAGCTTTGACTGTTAACGCGAAAGCTTGCTTCTGAAATGTTGGTGCATTTTCAGGTTTCAGGTGACCTCTTATGTCTTTGAAAGGAGATAAGAGGTCATACCTATTAGCAGGCTCTACAAATATTGAGATACTTAGCATTTAGTGCATTCTATAAATAAATTTATAGATTTCAGAATAATTGTCAAAAGTGGTCCTACTTTTAGTGATGAGGAGGGGTGATGTGCCAGAAACTCATTCTAAACTAAAGTATTAGGTCACTTTTAAAAAAGATAATGTATGATTTAATGAAGTCCTAAGATTCAGTTACTGTTTAAATTCACCCTTTCTGTTTTGGTCTTATAAAGGCATCTTGGTTTAATTATCCAGAGGAAGTTCCCCTCACCTTTTTTTTCCCCCTCAGTTCTTCTGGAAAGTGTTTATAAAGTTTTCTCAGTGAGGGTTCTTCAGAGTTTTCTTTGGGCTGTTTTCTCTCAGCAGTAAATTGATGATTTTGTATTAACTTTTTCAATAAAAGATGCATTATCATTGCTGGCTATAAATCATCCTGGGGAGATGTCTTTTACTTCTTCCACCTTTCACTTGTGGTTCAGAAGCTCAGACTGTGCATGCTTGTGTGGTGTTTGTTGCTCTGCCACTTTCCCTGCAGGCATTTTAAATTTTGCACATTCCTAACAATATATGGAACTCATTCCTATGAATATATCAAGAGGCTTCTGAAAGTTTCTATTAAAATATTTCAGGAGAAATTAAGTGTTGACAATTTTGAAAAAAATAATTTCAGTGAGCTGCTTATAGTAAAAATAGTAGAATCAGTTTTCATTCCTTTTTTTTTTTTGAGACGGAGTTTTGCTCTTGTTACCCAGGCTGGAGTGCAATGGCGCGATCTCGGCTCACTGCAACCTCCTCCTCCTGGGTTCAGGCAATTCTCCTGCCTCAGCCTCCTGAGTGGCTGGATTTACAGGCACGCACCACTATGCCCAGCTAATTTTTTGTATTTTTAGTAGAGACAGGGTTTCACCATGTTGACCAGGATGGTCTCGATCTCTTGACCTCATGATCCACCCGCCTCAGCCTCCCAAAGTTAGTTTTCATTCTTTCACTGAGAAATCTTTCTGTAAGATTGGCTTGTAGATGGAACGAGACAAACTACCATGTATGATGAGAAAACAGCTTCAGAGTCATGCCTTATTTTTTTATTTTTTGAGACAGAGGTCTCGTTCTGTCACCCAGGTTGGAGTGCAGTGGTGCAATCTTGGCTCACTGTAACCTTTGGCTCCTGGGTTCAAGCCATTCTCCTGCCTCAGCTTCCTGAGTAGCTGGGACTACAGGTGCACACCACCATGCCCAACTAATTTTTGTATTTTTAGTAGAGATGGGGTTTTGCCATGTTGGCCAGGCTGATCTCAAACTCCTGACCTCAGGTGATCCACCCAACTCAGCCTCCCAAAGTGCTGGGATTGCAGGCGTGAGCCACACTGCCCGGCTGAGTCATGCCTTATATTCATAGTATACCAAGAAATGTTCTATGGAGGTTTACGTTTTAACACCTCTTTTATATTTGGTAAAATTGCTTGTGAATATTGTTTCTCTTTATTCTTTTTTTTTTTTGAGACAGACTTGCTCTGTCGCCCAGGCTGAAGTGCAGTGGCGTGATCTTGGCTCACTACAACCTCTGCCTCCTGGGTACAAGGGATTCTTCTGACTCAGTCTTTCAGATAGCTGGGATTACAGGCATGTGCCATCACACCCTGTTTATTTTTGTATTTTTAGTTGAGATGGGGTTTCACCATGTTGACCAGACTGGTCTTAACTCCTTTGGTAATCTGCCTGCCTCAGCCTTCCAAAGTATTGGGATTACAGGCGTTAGCCACTGCACCTGGGCTTGTTTTTATTTTTTCTCTTGCATGAAGTAAAGTTCTTTGGTCAAACAGACACAAAGAAAAATATAGCCTTGTACTGGTGATCAGTTTCAATAGTGGATCACACACAGTGTTGTACTTGGCTTATAAAAATGGTGCCTTGGCGTATCTGTGATCCCAGCTACTCGGGAGGCTGAGGCAGGGGAATTGCTTGAACTGGTACCCGGGAGGTGGAGGTTGCAGTGAGCCGTGATTGCACCACTGCACTTCAGCCTGGGCTACAGAGCGAGACTCTGTCTCAGGAAAAAAAGAAAAAGTGCCTTGAATAGGGTGAGTTTGGATAAGTATGTATGTATGAGTTATAGCAAAGTAGGTTGAATGAAGAAGTCCAGGCAAAAGCAATAAAACAAATAGTTTTATTTTTTCCCAGATTCTTTTTAAAAAACGATGTCACTTATATGGGAGTCTTCATAAAACTTTTTTCTGGAACTATGGAAATGTAATTTAGGATGATTTGATGTTCCATCTCAAGGTGCCAACATGGCTGCGTCATTCTGGCTGACGCATTTTTGATCTAACAAAATTCTAGTAAAGGGATGACGGCATAATGAAGACAAGCTTCAGTTATGAAAATACAAACTGTGTGATTAATTTTTAAAAACGCCGTTGAGAAGCCCATTGTAAAAGAACATTTGCAGTCGAAGTGTTTTTATTCGTTGTAAGTACCTATGTTTTGGGTAGTGGTTCTCATCTACCTTGAAGTACATAAGACTTACCTAGCAGGCTTGTTTAAAAAGTTCAGATTCCCAGTTTTGTATCCTAGAGATTGCCTCAGTTGGTGTGGGCTGTGGCCTTAGAATCATCACTTTTATAAACAGTGGTTCAGAGGCCACAGAGAGAGGAGGCAAGTGGACGCTTTTTACCTGAGGTTTAGAATAGGTGTTCTCTGGCCAGGTACAATCACCAGGCGTTTTCTGTCTTCAGAAGTAGTAAGGATGCCTCTAATTGAGAGGATTATCTAAGCTCCTGACAGCTGTTTTTCTCCGTTGTCTTAGTGCCTTCTCTGAAAAATAAATGTACAAGTATCCTATTTTCTAACAGATGTAATTAGGATTTTTTTAGTTTTTCTTTCAAAAAGTAGAATTCAGCACTGTGACTTGAACCCCCAAATCTTTCACATACAGGAAACATTAAGCCACAATAAAAATAATGACAAGAAGGAAGACAAGCTCATAACTTCTGTTATTAGTGACCTAACCACCCCACATCAGAAACTTTGCAAAACAGATCTAGGACAGAAAGGTTTTGAAAGACATTTTTCTTTGGGAGGGAATTTCATGTGCCAGAACTCAGGTTTAAATGTAGTGTTTTTATGAGCAAGGGAAGGTAGCATTGACTTCCAGAGCTTTCTAATTAGGTATGTGCCGTCATGGATGTGAGCCTTAAAGGAGTTAATACTAATCTTGTACATACAGAAATTTTGCTCGGGTTTCTTTTTTCTTTTAAAAAATGATTGTTAAAAGTACTTTCTGCTAGACCCTTGCCTTTGAGTGGCTTTACAATTGAAAAAATTTTTTAAAAAGCGAAATGGTCTGAGATTACACTATTAGTATATTAAAAGCATGTTCCTGTTTTACTCCAATATGTAAGATCATTTAATGGAATAAAGATCACAACATCATGTTATCTGTGTTTTCCTTCTCTCTCTCTCTCTCTTAATATGGGAGGTTCTGCGAAACAGTTTGGCTTGGCAAAGTGAGTAAGACTTCTAACTGGATAACCTTGTGTGAAAGGGAGTACTGGCATTGTGGTTTGATTTAGCTTCCTCTGTCCTACAAAACGATACTGAACTAGTATCTTACTAGCATACCCCTGGAGAAGGCTCTATTGTTGGCAGGGTTGCTTAAAAGTGAGCACCAGGGCCAGGTGTGGTGGCTTATTTCTGTAATCAACACTTTGGGAGGCTGAGGTGGGAGAAACGCTTGAGTCCAGGAATTTGAGACCAGCTTGGGTAACGTGGAGACATCTTTTACCCGTCTCTACAAAATAAAAAAAGCCAGGCATGGTCATGTGCACCTGTAGTCCTAGCTACTCTGGAGGCTGAGGCAGGATAATCACTTGAGCCCAGGAGTTCCAGGTTGCAGTGAACTATGGTCACGTCACTGTACTGCAGCCTGGGCAACAGAGCAAGACCCTGTCTCTAAAAAAATAAGCGCAAATTTTATTTACAGTAATGTGGACTTGTGAAGACCTCTGAATTTGTAGCACTTTCATTTGGTTGTCCTATCTGAGGCCAGCTGATTAAACAGTTTCTCTTTAAGGGTGGGGTCAGGGAAGGTAAAGCTCTGCTTAGAGCTTTCTCTTTCACTGATGACCCTGGACACTGGGGAAATGGAATCGAACTTCTCAAATATTGACTAATAGCTAGACATACCCCATTTGGCCCTACAGTAAAAAGCTTTCTTCCCTTGTTGGAAACACTGGGTGGGGTCAGCAGTCTTTGTCCATGCAACTATCCATCCCTGATTGTGATCATGTGTCAGGTGCTATGCCAGGTGCTGTCCTTGAGTTCATCGGAGTTTAGCAGGCAAGGGGTGAACTCAGAGGCTGATGATGGGGAAAGTGCAGTGAAAACAAAGATCCAGGACTTGGGTGCCGCCATTGATGTAGATGCTTTCATCAGCATATGCTGAGGAGAAGGAAAGACCAGGATGAGGAATGTGGTCCTGTATGGATGGGGAGCAGTCAAGCAAACGGACTTGTCTTTGCCGCACTGACATTCTTGCTTTTGATTACCATACATCACTTTGCAAAAGACAAGTCCAACTCTAATTAATCAAAATAGTTTCCTGTAATTGGACATACAGGGGCAAAACTGACAACAGGCACTGGAGGAACTCAAATGTCAACAGGGCTTTTATTTCAGGGTTCAGTGACCTATTTATCTGCTATTGCAGACAGGTTTCCTCCATGCCCCAGTGGGGTACAGGCACCAGTGGTTCCAGGCTGATATCATCCACTTTAATGTCCCCTGAGGAAAGAGGCCTTTTTTTTTTAAGCTACCTATGAAAACCTATTTGTATATCTCCATCCTAGAGAAGGCTTCTGAATTGTTTGGGTTGAGTCATGCTCCTTCCATGGTCAACACTGTAGCCTGAGGCCTGAGGCCTCACAACCAGCAGATCTGGGTTGCAGGTGTCTGTAGTCAGAGTGATGACCATGTACTATGACTGACAGCTCCACCATAATCACAGAGTCACCAAATGAAAGACTGCTGGGCAGACCAAAACAAATAATCCACTGCAGCTAACCAATTCCATTTAACAAGGGCCACTGAACACTGAGAGACGGGAAACCTGGAAATTTCCCAGGTTAAAGGTTCTGGAATATTTATTTATTTATTATTTATATATGTGTGTGTGTGTGTGTGTGTGTGTGTGTGTGTGTGTGTATGGAGTCCTCGCTCTGTTGCCCAGGCTGGAGTGCAGTGGTGTGATCTCTGCTCACTGCAACCTCCACCTCCCAGGTTCAAGCTATTCTCCTGTCTCAGCCTCCTGAGTAGTTGGGATTACAAGTGTGTGCCACCACGCCCGGCTAATTTTTGTATTTTTAGTAGAGACTTGGTCAGGCTGGTCTCGAACTCCTGACCTCGTGATCGTGGTTTTTTCTTTTTTGAGACAGAGTCTTGCTTTGTCACCAAGGCTGGAGTGTGTGGTGCAATCTCAGTTCACTGCAACCTCCACCTCCTTGGTTCAAATGATTCTCCTACCTCAGCCTCCAGAGTGGCTGGGATTACAGGCACCCAAGACCACACCGGCCTAATTTTTGTACTTTTAGTAGAGGTGGGGTTTTGCCATGTTGACCAGGCTGGTCTCAAACTCCTGACCTCATGTGATCTGTCCACCTCGTTCTCCCAAAGTGCTGGGATTACAGGCGTAAGCCACCGTGCCTGGCCTTCTGGAATGTTTTTTAAAGAGAAGGTAGAGATGGTTATGTTGCACATTTAGGCAGTGGAAGCTCTTCGGGGCATTTCAATAGGGGTTTATTTGTTCTCTTTCCTCTTCAGTAGGACTTGGGTTTTAAAGGGGGTTCAGAAGGAGGTTATACTTCACTTTTCTTTTCTAAAAGCCTGAGTTTTCTGGTCAGAGCAAAGTCAAAATTGGCATAGTTACATGTTTTGCACCTGTGAAACCGTGTTCAGCTGGCTGATGGAGGACCTTCCCTTGAGACATACTCCTCTTTTGAATGTTGTCGTGAAATTTGTGGATTCTGTTCCTTGTGTGCAAAGAGGCATTGCTAACAGTTTCCCTTTAAATGCAGTTTCACTAAAAGAAAAAAAATGCAGTTTCCCTGTTCCTTTCTCTCCTCACCCTCACACCCTTTCTCTTGCCCTGGCCTTCTTGTGTGTCACTCCACCTTCTGAGACTCCCCACTGGGTCTTTTAGGCCTGCACACCAAATTAGTCTGTGCCATTTTCTCCCTCTTGCTCAGCTATTCCTCCTCAAAGAGTCAGCAAAACAATGTATTCTGGAGGATCCATGTATCCTCATCAGAAGGCAGAGAATGGAGAGGTTACAAATACTAAAAAACTGGCCAGGGGCAGTGGCTCATGCCTGTAGTCCCAGCACTTTGGGAGGCCAAGGTGGGCGAATCACCTGAGGTCAGGAGTTCGAGACCAGCCTGGCCAACATTGCCAAACCCCGTCTCTACTAAAAATACAAAAATTAGCTGGGCTTGGTGGTGCAGACCTGTAATCCCAGCTACTCAGGAGGCTGAGGCGGGAGAATTGCTTGAACCTGGGAGGTAGAGGTTGCAGTGAACCGAGACTGCACCACTGCACTCCAGCCTGGGTGACAGAGCAAGACTCCGTCTCAAAAAAAAAAAAAAAAAGTTTCCCCCTTGTCACAAGAAGAATGGGGCTTCATAGCTGTGCTATGCAGAAATGCCTTGAAACTTTGGATCCTGGCATCACAGTCCACTTGTCCGCCTGCTTTGTGCTGGGGTAAGGACCGTTTCGTTGGTGATGGTGTGGCATCATAAGGCAGTTTCTCAGGAAGTCCTGGGGCCTTCCTTACAGAGCTCCTCTTTTGAGAACCGTGTGAGAAGTGAAAATACACAGCCCTCAGTACTGCCCCCCTTCCCAGTATGCTTTGTTTTGTTTTGTTTTCTGGCACAGCGACAGGAAAATAAAAGATAAGGGAGGTGAATCTGGGTGCTTCTGGAAGCAGAGGGTGAGGAAAGGCAGCAGTCAGCCTGGCTGCCTCAAAACTGAACCTGTGCATCCTGGGTTCGGATCACCTTACAGTCAGTCACTGGCTCAGCATGCTCCGTAATTTGTTTGATGAGTAATAACACACATAAAGCTGGTATTTATATTGCCTCTGACTCTCCTTGTCAGAAAGCTGGTGAAGATCACATGATATTGATGGGCACATACCTATTCTCATGTTAATAACAGCCACCATGTCTTGTCTGAGGATTTACCACATGCCAGACATCGGGCTCAGCACTTTACAAGCATCATTTCATTTGTTGCTGTCTCTTTGGGGAATTTTTTTTTTTTTTTGACAGAGTCTTACTCTGTTGTCCAGGCTGGAGTGCAGTGGCAGTACCTCGGCTCACTGCAACCTCTACCTCCCAGGTTCAAGCAATTCTCCTGCCTCAGCCTCCTGAGTAGCTGGAACTACAGGTGTGTGCCACCATGCCAGGCTAATTTTGTAGTTTTTAGTAGAAATGGGATTTCACCATATTGGACAGGCTGGTCTCAAACTCCTGACCTCATGATCCACCCACCTCGGCCTCCCAAAGTGCTGGGACTACAAACGTGAGCCACCATGTCTGGTTGGGGAATATATTCTTATACATCATACAGTATCACCAATGCTCCATTTTTTTTTTTTAATTTGAGACAGAGTCTTGCTCTATCGCCCAGGCTGGAGTGCAGTGGCACGATGTCAGCTCATTGCAACCTCCACCTCCTGGGTTCAAGTGATTCTCCTGCCTTAGCCTCCCAAAGTTTTGGGATTACAGGCATGAGCTACTGTGCCAGGCTACCAAGGCCCATTTTACAGACAAACAGGTTCAGAGAAGGAACCATGGCCTGGGCCCTACAACTATTATAATAAGTAGCAGGGTCATGGTTTGGTCCAAGCATCCTGACTGCAAAGCTCAGTACTGGCACTGGAGTGGTGGGAATACAGAGATGACCAAGAGCTGGTTCTGCTCATGTGAAGTCATATTCCAGTGCAGAGGTAGGACCTGTGTTGGTCATTCATTCTTCATTCATGCATTCATTCATGAAATGCCTATGGTGTGCTAGTTTTTTTTTTTTTTTTTTAATTAGCTTTTGTTTTTTTTTAGATGGAGTCTTGCTCTGTGGCCCAGGCTGGAGTGCAGTGGTGCAATCTCAGCTCATTGTAACCTCTGCCACCCCGGTTCAAATGATTCTCCTGCCTCAGCCTCCTGAGTAGCTGGATTGGGATTACAGGCACCCACCACCTGTATTTTTGTATTTTTAGTAGAGACATGGTTGGCCAGGCTGGTCTTGAACTCCTGAGCTCAAGTGATCTGTCTGCCTCAGTGGGGAAGATGTTGGTCAAAGTGTACAAAATTTCCATTAGGAGGAGTAAGTTCACTAGATCTATTGCACAACACAGCGATTATAGCAAATAACAATGTACTTATGT